TTAAAAAACCGAGTTGATCATCAGGGTATGACGTTTATAACGAGAAAATCCGTCTGTCGCTTAGATTTTTCATGACCAGTGACGATAACCTGGATTCATGCTCAAATTAACGAATCGATTGCGAAAATTTCTGAATTCCGTAAATTTAAGCCGAAAACTCTCTTGTTCACAAATGAAACCTCAATTTACAAGAGGGAGCATTTAAAACAATTTTCTGATAATGATCAAGAAATATTATAGCATCTTAATCAATTCAAAACACTATAAATTTGCAATTGAATCCCCCATTTCTTTTAAAAACAAAAGAATTTTATCAAATTTTCTTAAAACATTACTGTATAAGAAATCTAACGATAAAACCCTAGAACCAAAATTATCCGATTTAAGGAAAAATACCTAAAAGAAATAATATTTTAAATTCAAGTTCCTATTTATCTAAAAATTTCAATTCCTGTTGGAGCAGCAATAATTATAGTTGCTGCCGTAAAGAAAGTCTTCGAGACGGTTTCAAGTAAGAATGACATCTTAAAGCACGAAAGTGTCCTCAGGTCATATTTTCAGGGGGGTTGGGGGGGGGGGAAACACTGGGAAGAATATCGTTCAATATCCGAGGTCAACAACACCTTGAGCCAACGTAGAAGTTTCACTAGCCGCCCTCGCCCTTGAAGCGATTTATCCAAGCAAAACCATCATACATCTACAACCTTCTCGTCTAGGATTGTTGCTTCAGCGCGTTTCAAGATGTTAATCGAAGGCAATGAACACAAGAGATAATACAGTACTCGGGATACTCGAAAAAACACACGAAAAAATCAAGAGGTTCGCACTCGGGATTAACCGGTTTTCACGCACCAGCCCTCTTGAAGCTTATCCAACTCTCGGGATCAGGCGCGAATCGGTCAAATCTATCGGTGGCTATTAATAATTCATTAAGACGATCTCCGTCGTACGAGATTATCCGTGGAGCAAGAGGACAAATTCACTGCCCCCAGAAAAACTCAATAATTCTGACGGCGTAGTATTTATTCAGACGAAAAATTGTCCTGAAGAGATCTCCTTCCAGATTTGTAGTTTTAGAATATCGCACAACTCATGTAAAAAAATAAAAAAGTGCGTTTGTTCTATTATCACGTAACACCATATTCTACAAATTATGCAGGTTGAATATTTGTTGCAGAAATAAATTCATTCATGTACATAAGGAACAAGGCTTTTGAATTCACTGTTTGCACCAAAAACTTGTGCATCAGTGAGATAAAAATCTGGCATGAAAGGTTTTCCAGATTCTTATCACGAAAGAAAAGTTAAGTTTAGAAAAGTTAGAATATCTCAAGATCTGTCAGTCGGATCAATTTTTATAATATCAAAGAAAATTTGGAGAACATCATCAGCTTTAATTTAAGATGTTGTGGAATTTTTTAAGAGTAAAATTTGCGGAGTTATTTGCTGATTTCTTTCTTTTTGGAAGCAAATTTTTATTGCACAATGCAAGCTTGTATTTGCTGATTGTGAGTGTGATTGTCGTATTTATGAAATCTGTGATCAGAGACAATAATGAACTCCTCTTTCAACATCCAAAGAGTGAGGACGCTACAGCTTCCCTTATTTTTGCAGTCATAATGTATAGTCTTGCACTTTTAAAATTAAATTCCCTTGGAGGCTGGGTAACTGCCTCAGCACTCAGATGTCTCTTGCTTCTGGAATGAATTTAATGCAGCTTAAAATCTGTATTAAATATTGTTCATTAAATGACGATAATTTTACAGAGACTTGTTTAAAATAGGCTGAGAAGGAATATTTTAGACCGGCTTGAAAATAATAATATGTATCTACACTACTTACAAAATGAGAAAGCAAGACCGAATATACGCAGTAGTGAATTTTAATCGTGGAACTAATTCGCCTGAAGTTTCAAATATATTTTCAGATTTTATCCGCAAATTGCCAATTTTCTTCATTCGGTCAATTAAAAAAAATCGCGAAAATTTATAAATTTCATCCAATCTGATATGTAACGTCTTTATCTCTTCTCTTCAGCCGACTTCGTTGAAAATAGACAAATGTAAACCCATTATTTCGGAATGGTTTTTTGTTCGGATTCAAAGTATCCATAATACTGTACTGTATTCGAAAACATATAAGGCGTAACACCATTTGAAAGCTCAAGACAGTTTTAGTTCGAATTTAGCTTTCCAGCAGTTCTGGTTTTTGAGCAATGGAAGCTTAACGGCAACTCTTTTAAAAATTAGTCCTTTGATATCTTGAACTTTTTTCAACCACTTGAACTTAATTTTTTCAATCTTTGGTATTACGGTTTTGAAATTATTTTTTCCAAAAAATGCGGCGTGAATTATCGGGGATAACGAATCAATTCGGAATTGCGAAACTATTTGTCTGATTTTCTTTCAACTTTTTTCATCCGAACATATTGAAAAAAATAAATAAAAATCAAGAGAACTTGAATTGAACTCGTATTTGGCAATCTATCGAATTCTTGGAAGCATTATTGCTTTGAAACCGGCGTCAATTATCTTGAATAACATTAATTTAGGCAGGCATCATTTCTGATTTTCTTCCGAAGTTTCTCCAAACCTTCCACATGGAAAAAAAGAAATTGCATCCAAACTCGAATGGAAAAAAGCCTGACCTCCCCGAGCTTGTCGAGCTTTGTATAGGTTTCCATGCGGCCGAACCCGATTTCCGACAGCGATTGACGTCGTGTCGCTCTCGTCAGCGGTCCATCCAACACCGGACTCAGGTTTTCCATGCTGATGAAAGAATCAGGTAACCGCAGGTCCGCGGGCAATGACAGCCTCTTGTTGATGTCAACCTGGAAACAAGAGTAGATAACAATACATTCCCCGAAAAGATTTCAACAAAAATGAAAAGTGAACCACGGATGATTGACAGCATTCCACGCGCACAACCCTTCCCGACTCGCGAAGTAACCCAACAAAAAAAAAACTCTTAATATAATTCAATTGAGTTACAATGTCTAGCTCACTCATTCAGAAAAAGAGACAAAAAGAAAAATGATATACATTAAACGTTCTTTGAAGTCAAAATACGCTCGCAGCGCACATTTAATTTAATTCGATACAACTTTCCCTGGAATTTTCATCACAGGTTCACGAGGAAAAAGGACTCGAATCAACACTTTTACCGACGCGAAAAATCTGGTTCTCAGCTGATGTGTTCAGGCAAGCGTTTCCTGGATCAAGAACTCGAAACGAATTTAATGAAAATGCCCGTAACATTCGGGCAACGCTTTTGTACAGTACTTGCTAAAATCACACTTGAAAACGCGAGCCGCTGAAAAAAAATTTAATGAAGTATAATTCCACAGTACTGAACTTCAAAATATGTAAGAAATTACAGTACCAACAATTCGAAAGACAATTTTCATATTGTACTCGTAAAGTATTTTGTCAATCTTTCGATATCTACAAATACCTTTATTCACGTGCTTATGCACGTCGAAAAATATTTTTCAGTACCGATTCTTCTACATTTTTCCAATGGAAAATCCGCTGATTTTGTATTTGTTCCTCGATATCGATTTGAGAGCGTCAAGATTATACCTGTTTGATGATGATTATTAAAATTCCATCAACGAGAATAAACTAAAGTTGTGTTTTGCGAACAAGATACATGAGCACGGATCCAATTACATTTCTCAAAAGAATGCTTCAGCAATAGCATTGAAATGATCTTACAATACAGTATAAAATTCTGTCACAACAAATTTTCCAGTACTGTAGAAAAATCTCTTCCTGAAGCCTGCTAAAGTTTAATTGAAAATCTCGTCACGAGAAAATTTCGGGCCTTTCGGAAAAAGTTCGATTCTGACATTTCAGGTTCAATTTTCTTCTAAACTAGTTGTTGAAAAATTAACAATAAAATCTCGTCATATCGAACTTTTGGGAACTTCTGAAAATATTTTACTGTAGTTTTTTATACAGAAAAAAATTGCTGTAACGAGATTTCTCGGCATACGTAAGTAACAATTCCACGTCATCCCAGCATAAACGATATTCACGACGGATAAGAACGAAATTCTCACTTCCACAGAACTCTTGAACGTAATGTTTTTTTTTTAAATACACTGCTGTAAAATTTTGCAGAAGTCTGCCAGAAAAAAATAAACAGAAGCTCCCAACTAACTCGTCCATGCCTGACTACAAAGTCGGGTGAGTGAACACCGAAAAACCGAATCAAACAACACTTCACCGGAGCAATAAAAATTCCACGCGTTTAATGTCAGAGTCCCGCGTCAACCTTGAGAGCCACGGCGAGACTGGTCGGAATCAGGAAAATTAACACCATCACTCCGTGATTGGCTCTTATCGTCATCCGCAATGATTCGAGATTCCGAGTTTTTATCGCCGGGAATTCGAAGCGGAGAAAAAAAGAAAACGGGTCGTAAATTCCCGCGGGGAGGTGACAGAAAAATCATTTTCATCATTCCCACACGTTTGGATTTCGTTTAAACTTGAACAAAGTCCCGAATTGCTCTGTCTTCATCCACGGAATTTCAGGGAGGCAAGCGACAAATTTCTGGGTTCTTCCTACAGTTGAAAAGTGTGCACATTTTTTTTCAATAGCGTAGCCAAAAAAAATTGAGCGATTAAAAGAAAACCACTTTCAACACTGCGACAGAAAAAAAACGTGATTCGCTCGATTAACCATCATTCGTATTTTTCTTCTCGTATTACGAATGGGTTTGAAACATTTTCAAAACTTGACTTCCGAAGAATTTGCAAAGAAAAGGCAGAATTGAATTCAAGCTAAAGTGTATCATGGAAACGTCAAGAGTTCCGGAATTTTCGTATTTGTTATGCATCAAATTCAAAATCCAACCTCAGAAAATAACAATTTTTCAAATTTTAATATTGCATGGTATTATAAATCAAAACAAAAATCAGCAGTGAGAGTAAACGGAATTCTGCCAATTCTCGTTGGAACTGTAAAAAAAATTTTTGCTTACTATATTTTAATTGGCAAATGACCTCATTCGACTCGACTGTCAATCTCCCAAAGTGATGTACGCAAGTGACAAAATTTATCAATGAAACATCTATTTGCACTGTTGGGCGGATTCACTTCGTCCTTCAGCACACAAACATTTTGATTGACATCTAAAAGTTACAGGAATTTGAACGTTGAACCGATTTTATTTTTCCAATCTCAGGAATTTCTCGTGGACTGAAAGCGAAATATCGGAAAACCTGCGCAAACGATTTCACATCATATCACAAAATCTTTCGGTAGTTTTGAATAAATAAAATGATGGAAAAAAGAATATACGTCCAACAACCTCTCGGAAATCTCCTCTTCCAAAACACCTTCGAACTGACGAAATAATTCTCCCAGCAAGACATCTTCAAATCGGCGAATCAGTTCTTTGGTGCGAATGTTTTGCCGGAAATGAATCGAAAGCACTAGCTGGTTTTCGCAGAGGAAGACTTCTTCCTTGATTCGAATGTAGTTTTTTATTGCTTCAAATTTCGCGAATGAAAGTAAAATACTCGTGAACACTCTTGTGACGGGGGAAAATTCTTCTTTGATCCAAATGCAGTCGTTTCGAGAATGAAAGCACATTAAAAACTGCTGTGACGGAGGAGTGTTTCCTCATGTATTGAAAACGAATTTGCTTCAAAAAATGAAAATGTTTCGACAAATACGATCAAAAAGGAACTCTGTGATGACGGGGGAATGTTTCCTCCTCGACTCAAATTCAGCTTTTGTTTTACCGTACTGTATTTCCGAAGTTCGCGAATGAAAATACTGTACAGTACTGTGCCAAACTTTCGAACACTTTCCGAGACGGATGAAAAATTTCTCGATTCAAACACAACCTTCTTTCGACTATTCGCGAATAAAAGTAGATTGAACACCGTTGCGACGGAGGAAAGTTTCCTTCCTTAACCCAAAAACTTTCATTTCAAAGAATAAAAATTGTTCAAAAAATACCGTACCTTGCTGTAGGACCGGTTTTTCTGTCTTAGCTTGACATTGTTCATGGGCAATGGAGAGACCATCTCGTCCGACGTTCCCGACACATCCTCAGACTCTCCGTCGGATCCCATGTTGTTGTATGGTTGCTGCTCCATCACAACACCTATGTTTTAAAACCAGAAATACCATGAAAAAAAAGGAAAGCTTGGAATTCAAACACAAGTAGACTACGATCAATTTTTCGGTTTAACGTATTTTTTGTCGCTTGAATTCCGTGCTATTGGAAACATGATTATGAGGCCTAATTACTAAACTATCCCATTGGTATACAGTATGGAAAACAAAAGACACCGATTAAATCCTAGACCAGATTTCTTCCAAAAGATGGAAAAAAAAATCCCAGTACTTGCCCCGGATAAAAAAAAATCGCCTTGAGACGGAAGGGAAATACTGTACCAGTTTTTTTCTGTTAGTTTCCGTCTCAAAATTCTACAGCTGCAGGAATTTAAGACAAATGTGGGATTTAAAATTAATGCTGTTGGGATTAGGAAAAAATGCGAGGCCTCAAATACGTTAATGGGATTAGGAAAAAATGCGGGACCTCAAATACGTTAATGGGATGAGGAAAACGTTTTCTTGTTATAATTTTTTCTCGGAAACCTCCTGAATTAAGCCTGACGCTCGGATGATTCCATTTCAAGTATGGTAAATCTTCAACAGCTTTCATTCATATCAAATAAGTAAAAAGAGATGCTTTCAAAGAAAAATTGTTCTCATAAACAACGCCCAACATAATTCCGAACAAAAAAGCACAGTTTCCAAATCAGTCAGTCAGCATTTCAGATGTTATCCGAGGCCAAAATCTACTAAAGCTCATGGCCATTACTCGTATAGGACGCTTCCCAAAAAATCGAGCGTTTTCGAGTTCAAAATGCAATAAACAAACATGGCGCAGTAAAGGAATGGCGGAACAGGAAATATTCCAGCATTCAAAAAATCCATGAAAAATCCCCACGAATCATCCCCCCCCTTTTTTTCGAAGTGAAAGCAGCGAGGGAATCTCAGCTTTCACCAACAACGTGACGAAAGTATGGAAGACTTCATCAAAGGAGAGAATCTTCATTAAAAAAGTGGATTCACAGAAATTCTTCGCCGATTGAAACGAAAATACTATACATTGTATAAGAATTATTGACGGTTAGATACTTCGCATCCGCTCAAAAATGATAGGGTTTAGCGATGATCGAGAAACCCACATGTTCCAAAAAATAGTTAGGCTATATATAAACGGTACAACATACTATCTTGTACAAGAAACCTTCACGTGGTACCAAAAATCATGAATTGACCATACTGAGAATATTTCTATGGATTTTCCGCATCATTCATGATGCTTCATTTGAAAACGCCGTTCTGATCAACGCAAACATTTATTTCGAATCTAAGTCAACATTTTCCAATGAATTTTCGATGATCAATCTGATGGAAACAGGAACCCAAAAGAAGAATGAGTGATTTTCCCAAATCCAATCATTCGAAATAATCGCTTAGTTATAAAATTTGAGGGAATTTGAGGGAATTCGAGGCGTCAGAATCAAACTGCATGTCATCTCATGATTTAAAGTAACATATTCTCAGACAGCCCACACCACAGAATTTTAAGCATTAAAACTCACCAAGTGTAAGGCTTTTCGATGCCTTCATCGACTTTTTATTGCGCCTGCGATCGCTAAGAGCTGAGAACCAGCCCCCAATTTTCGCACTGCCCGAGGACCACGGGCTGACTGTGCTGACCGTAGAGCTTCGCTGCATGACTCGGACATCCATGTTCGTCCGATTCGGAAATTCCATACTGTATTGTCTGCTTCGAAGAACTACTCAAAATTCCAAGATCCAAGAAAAATCCCTCGACGATTACACCATGACTAGAAGATACATTCAGTCTTTGCTCGAGCACCAACGGAAAACACTCGCACGCACATCTCCTTTGATCTGCTCGAATCCTGTACAAAAATCGAACATATCTTCCACTTCAAATTGAAAGATAACATCGGACACAAACGTAGCGGGCCTTTTCTTTTACTAAAATTCTAACTCAGTTCCCAGCGTTTTATAGAAAAACCTCAACGTTTAGCAACTTAATCAACTCAAAGTTACGAATACAACGATGAATATGAGGATATCGCAAGTTTTACATTTTCGATGAATCTTGCGAAAAAAGTTTCCGAGCGTAGATTTAGATTCTGGTATGTATTCAAATCAGAGTTGTCTGTAGGGCGTTATTCCCGGATCACTTCACGATTATCACTAGCGAACCATCAAAATGAACCACATCATGCACACTGCGGAAAAAAAAACATCTTTCTATACACAGAGAATCAAAGCGCTGAATGTATTCAGATATTCAATGGCGAATGAGGAGCACTACGCGAGCGCTCAAGCGCTTCATGACCATCTCCTCGCTAAAAAAAAAAGAAAGAAATAATTCGAAAAATTAAGATAAAATTTCAGCGAATTAATATTTACACTCGTCGAAATAGACGCTGGTCATATCATTTCACATTCGAAACGGACAAAAACTGCACGAACTCAGACACAAACTCGTAATCATATATTATTTATCGATTACAAGACATCGAATTCATCTGAGAATAATGAAAATGTACTTCCTATTTTACCACACGGTGATGCACGTTAGCGCAGATGTTACAACTCACGGCCGCTCACTTCTACGCCAATCCGCTGATACCAACCATCAAATGCAGGTCAGAAAATCACACATCAACCATTTATGAAGCAGAGGGACTAGTCTTCAACTCCACTACCTAGCGAACTATGAAAAGATAACAAAGTTGGATGGAGCCAGACTACTTCGACACCAAACGGACATCCACAGAATTCTCTCGATCGTGAATGATGTTTACTTTCTTCGGACATCGTTAGGAGGGAGGCCATTTTGTCAGCCATATTGAAGTGCTAGTTCTATCTTGTGTGGCTTAGGCAGCGCACAACTGAATAGTACATGTAAAAGAGATCCATATATGCAGCATAGGATGTCCTTGGAATAAAGGAATACCATGTTTTAGCCGGAACCGAACATGAAACTAAACGTATGATTGCATTAAAAATCATCTGAAGAAGTTTTCTACAATAGCGTAACTTGCATCCGTGGCTTTCCCTTGAATTTCAATTGATGAACATGACCAAATGCCTACAATAGCTTACCGGTATTCTTAAGAACTCAACCACTCAGCTCAATGAATCACTCAAAAATTGCTTATTGACTGAAGTATTTTTTAAGTGGATCATTATTATTCTGCACTCAGTTTAGATTCTTAGAAGTTGTGCTTTTGTCGTTTCTCTTTTTTGAACAATTTTTGCGCATTTAGGATTTGTAAATAGTCGCAGAGCAGAATTTTTTCAGAAGCTGGACATTTTGTTGATTTTTTCTTGCTAAACCAGTTTTCATCTCCAAATAAATGGGTAGTACAGTATTGTACATTTCATATCCAGTTACGTTACCAAGTTACGTACTGTACCTCCAGGAATTGCCACAGGGCCCCGGAATGTTGATCAATCCGTCTGACCTGAAGACGGGGTTCGAGGTTCGATCGGTAAGCGTTCAAAATCGTATGACTTTGGCGGATGGCTCGGTTACTTTCCATTGAACGAGAATCCGTGAAATGAAGTCAGCCGTAAGAAGGAGTGTGCCTCGCGGACAGCAGGAAAAATATCCGGATGACGCAGAAGTGAATCACTTTGGAATGGCGTGTTCATGGGGTTTATACATTAATGCGATGACTCGTAAGCCGTGTCATTCTAACGGTGTCACATTTTGTGTTTCGTTCTTCAGGTCTGATCGGGGATGCTATTTGTGCGAGAATGGCAGGATTGGGATTATTTTACTGTTGTTACTGCCGTCGGGCATTTTTACACCGCGAGGAGCTGATCAGTCATGTGTTATCTCACTATAAAGACGAGCGCGACGAACAATTGTCCCTATTGCAGAACAATCATCATCCAAATACCCCCATTACCAGGACTCCTACGTATGTCGACGCTGGGACATCCCCTTCTGAAAGTGAAGCGTCGTTTTCCGCATTTCCTACAGTGGTTGAACCAAGACCCCCACCGGTGAGGAAATAATATTGGCATGCGAATTCTCCACGCACAGCGTCTATTTTATTTCGAAAATGTTCCATACACCTGTAGCCGCTGCTGGATCGCTCGGAAGCGATTTTATCAACGTCTCCCGTAATGCCGGTCGTTCCGGGAGTGGTTGCTCCCGGTAATCACCCACAGCCCAGTTTCAGTAAGGATGTTCTCTCTGCTGCCGATCAGAAGTACCAGTGTGCCACGTGTGGAAAGTATTTCAAGTATTCACATCACTTCAAAGCTCATAAACGGATACACGAAGGTGAAGGGCATTTCTCGTGCGAGCATTGCGGGAAGGTCTTCAGTCAAACCGCTCACCTCATTCGCCATAAGCGGATCCACACGGGTAAGTTTGAATGATGACGCCAGAGAAGGATGTGTGATGGTTAGTTTTTGTGTTTCGAAAGGTGAACGTCCGTTCGCGTGCGAGCTTTGTACGAAATCGTTTAATCAATCATCGCATCTCATTCGTCACAAACGTGTGCACACTGGAGAGCGACCGTTTGTCTGTGACCATTGTCACAAGAGTTTTTCTCAGAGTGCTCATCTCATGAAGCATCGAAGGGTTCATAGCGGTGAACGACCCTTTCCTTGTGAGGATTGCAACAAGAAATTCACTCAACACGTGAGTTTTCTACAGAAATTCTGAACGTGTTTCTTTGGTACTAGTATTTTTCGAACTGAGGTATCGATTTGATCTCTCCAACCTTGGCATTATCATCAGTTACTAGGCGATGTATAAAAGCTAATTTTCCGAGAAAAATGTTGTTTTTGGTGGAATCATCGGTGGAGGTAAGGGAAAGCTTTCCGAAAAGTGATGATCAGTCTAATACTGTTGACGTACCACTTTTCGATCTATTGTGGCCTCATCATTGGCTGAAATTTGCAGTGTTTCATAATTTATTTTTTTCGTCCTTGATCCACTTCTGATAAGAGTTTCAAGTAAATTTGGGAAGGACATGGTGTAAATGACGATCTGAAAATTTGAGTTTCATGTTTTCCTGTGTCTTGCGTGAAGGTGAACTTGCTGAAACACCGGAAAACGCATCACGGCGTATCTGGCGAAGCAGAGCAGTTATTACAAGATGCATTGTTGGATACTTCTGGACTGAATGATGATTTCGATGAGGAAGATTACGGGTCACCAGTTGGCGAGGATTTGAAAGCTGCTTCTCCGCTGGGTGTAGGAGCGTTATGATTTTTTATTTGGTTTTTTTCTTCTCGTTTCAGCCCATTTGGATTGTGATAATTAGTTTCCATAGTGTCAGTGTTTGTTTGGTAGCGTATTTCGTACGCTGGTTTTTAGTAATGAACTATTATTACCAGGTGAAAATTCATGCCGCCGATGGTTTGCAAAAAGAGGATTTTTGAGCTGAATGCGTGTTTTCTGCAGGTTTGAGTGATTCGTGGAACGACAATGCCGAGTGAAAACGGAAGTGCGGACCAGCACATAGATAAGGTTCAAGCTTTGTATAATAATTACGAGATTTTGGATAAAAATAAAGATGAGAAGGAAGTGCGGACGCGAGCGTATTTGGAAATCATAGCTGCTGTACGCGGACTTCCGCAAGAGAAGCAACTTGCAGCGCAGTTTATCCCGAGGTTCTTCAAGCAGTTCTTGGAATTGGGTGAAAGAGTAAGTTTAGTTTCGAAAAACTCACTTTCTGACTCGGTTTTATCCTTGGGGAAAATCCCAAGTGTCAAGTTCGAGTCTAAGTTCTCTCGATTCAATCGAAGTTCTATTGAGGATGCCGTTTTTTTAAAACCAGAAATGGGCCATAGGCCTGTTTTGTAGATTTTGTCCTATGTTCTGCCGATGGGAAAAAAGTCCGAAAAATATTTGTTATGAAGAATTTGGTAAACGTATTGCTTTTCTGTTTATTCCATAGCCGGTAGAGGCGATGCTGGATCTCTGCGAGGATGAGGATGTGAATATTCGCAAGCAAGCCGTGAAGGCGCTTCCTTCGATTTGTCGGGACGCTCCGGAAAACGTTTTTAAAATTGCAGACGTATTGGCACAGTTGAGCCAGTCGGACGATAACCTCGAACTTGGCGTAGTTTTCAACGCACTGGTCAGCATTTTCTCCATCGACCCGAAGGAAACCATTCGTGGTATTTTCGGCCAGGTGAGTTTCAACCCGTCGGGAAAGTTCTCCCGAGCTTGCTTCATGTTCATTTTATGAAAGTTGTTATATGTTTGCGAGAAGTGACGAGAATGTCGTTTTGGGTCCTTTATTTTGGGACATTTTTGGGAGGCAAACTAATTTTGCTTGAATCTAACTTATTGAAATGTGAATACAGTATAACTTGACGAGAGTCATCTTAATCGCTTGGATTCATACCGGTATTCCCCATCAAATTTTATATAATGCCGACTTTATAATGAATATTTTGTTTTAAGACATAATTAGAACTGTGAAAACCTACTGTAACTCAATGCTGTACCTGATGAGCACTTTTAAGCCTAACCTACTGCAGAACCTGATAGCCAAATTTATTCCAATGTCATATACAATCTAGTCGAGCATACCTGAGTTAATGTTTCCTCAAATGCACTTACGGTATATTCCATGTATCGCCCGTTACCATAAAAAATAACCATATAAATATTGAACAAACTTATACAGTACTGTACTTTTTCGAACTGGTGTAATTTATTATCAACTTATGCTCGACCAAACCGGCCATAGATAACCTGTAATCGGAATTGTTTTCGATGTGAAAATTTTTCCCCTAATACTTTTTTCCTATTTTTGATCAGGTGCAACAAAATGAGCAAGAAATAATTCGCGAGCGTTGCTTGAAGTTTATGACGGCGAAGATGCAAGTTTGGATCGAAGGTGGGAGTATGACGAAAGAAGTTGAAGAAGTTATCACTCAAGAAGCTCGCAAGTGTCTACCCGACTTGAACGCCAACGAATTCCTCATTCTCATGTCCATACTGGCTCAGACGAAACTCTCAAAAACCGTCACCGGACAACAGGTATGTTCTCTTTTTTTTTTAAAAGGAAAATGAACGATGGCTAATTTATGCAATGGAAAACTTGGCGATTATTTGAAAGCATCATTCGTGCTGAAGATTTCCTCAATTTGTTTATTTTTAAAAATTCCGTTGTTCATTTTCAGCGAACGCAACTTTCTTGAAAAGAAGCTTCTAAATTTATGCGGCAGAATGTTCAGGATTACCCGGAATATTTTAGACTTTCGTATTGAACAGTAATCCAAAAACGGGCGAAGAAAGAAAGCCAAATTCATGTTTAAAGTAAACGTTATGGTTAACAGAAACTATTCGGAAAATATTCCTTTGAAGAAAGTTGCCAAATGAAGAGGACAATTTATTGAAATATCAATAATGTAGCTATAAACTATGCATGATAAAAGCAGAATTGGGGGTTTTAATTGCTGTAACAATTTTATAGTACAGTACCTGTACTTAGTTTCCAAATATCTCGGCCAGGGATGACGTAAAAACTTCTGGATCAGATGATCAGCTGATTTTTGAAACTAGGCACGAAATTTTTGGAATTCAAAAGCAACTGAGATGAACTTCCCTATAAGTCTGAATTCTTTTTCTTATATTTTCGTAGTTCTAGAAATAGCATTACTTTATTTTGAAAGTGGTCCAAAATTTCTTGTGCCATCTTGTAGGTAAATTTGTAATTGTATTTACTCCATGAGTTTCCTGACGAGCATTAATTATTGCAGAGTTTGATTGATCTCGTGGCGGAGAAGATGGAGGTTGACGTGCCTCTAAAAACCCTCGACGCTGAGAACATCGACAGACTCCTTCGGTGTCTCCGAGAAGCTCTGCCATTTTTCTCGACGCAATCAAATTCTGACAAATACGTGCATTATTTGATAACCATGGTGTTTCCTTTCCTCGACGACATTGCAGCCGAAATCTCGCATTTGAAGATCGAAATTTTCAAACTCTTCGCGGAGCTGGCGTCGTTTACTAGTTCCGACTTCGCCACGAATCACCCTGAGGATTTGGAAGCCATTTACAATGCAGTGGTTGGTTTGTTAGTCTTGCCGCCACAGCTTAAAGAAGGTGAAGAAGAAGAATCGCAGAAAATGGGAGACGACGATGGCGAGCCGAATTTGGAGTTGTCGCAAATCGAGTGCATGTTGTATGCGTTCCACCGCTTACTCCAGCATGCGCCTGAGTTCTTCAAAAAGGAAGGCGAAGACAAGGTATGTGGTGTTTTTTGAAGCATCGTCATTTTTTCGGTAAATCTGCAAAAATGCATTATCTTCACTGGAATAAAAGACGCTTTAAAAAAATTGGTTTTAAGAAACAGGTCACGTCTTGCATTCTATGACGTCTTGAAATTTATGAAGTCTTAGATGCGCGGTTGGAGTCCATGTTCGCCTCTGATAAGCGCAATCTGTTGAATAAAAAGAAGACCGCAATTCAGTCGAAAAAACTTTGTTTTTACATTTTCCTTTTCAAGACACGCGCGTTATAAATTTGTTTCTCGTGGAAGTGTTCAGCGAGATTGAGTTAGTAAGTGAAGCACGAACAAACTTGTTTGACCGATGGAAAAAATATAAATAAGGAAGTTCGTCTCGCATTTGCAGATAAAAATTGTTATTAATTTTTTGAGGTACTGTGCTTGATAAATGAGCTGCGTCTTGAAATTTATGTTCTATATTACTGTATATACATGTTAAAGAGATGTCGGGGTCTGTGCGTCGTATTAATTAGGCGTGATGAAGACTTTTGCATTTTCATTCTGTGTTTTCCTTGAAATAACGAAATCAGTTTGGATCGCCTATACAGTAATTTATTTCCTGGAAAGAAACCTCTGGCGAACTGGACGAAGTTTCATCATGATACGGCTTCATTTTGTATTCGTGGACTTCTGAATCATGCACGGACTTCATTCATCTTAGTTGGGCTCATAGATAAGATTAATATTGAAAGATCGAATGCGTAGAATGTTGAAATTCACAAAATAACTCTCATCAATGGCTTGAACTATAGCAATTCTCTCTTTTGATACTTGCTTTTCTGAAACGCCGCCCTTATTGTTGGGGCGTGTAATGTTTGTTGGAACGTCACAAACTTCAATTAGGGTGCGTTAATTTAATTTGATAATTTTTTTGAATAGGTTGAGGAGCGGTTGGTGGACTTGCGGAAACGATTGACGTACTTGTCGCGTCGCGTCCAAGTGTACATAAAAACTTTACAAGAGAAACTGAAGGGAAAGACTGCGGAAGAGTTGAAGCGCGAAGACAACAAAATCCGTCTCATCGCGCTTCGCACTACGGCAAACGTGAACTCACTCACGCGCGACTTTTTCCACACGCCGCCGGTGTTCCGCAGTTTCGTAGTGTTGTCGTGGAAACCGGCGTCTGGATCAGGCGTATCCGGTGCCAGTGGCGGAGGCGGCGGTGGTGGTGGTGGACGTCACCACCCGGGTGCCGGCAAGCGGAAGCCAATCGCCTTTGACGAGGAGTCCAACAAGCACAGCGGGCGTCCGTTGTACGAGCCGCCGGGGGGAAAGTTCTCCAAGCGCGTGGATAAGTATACAGGGCAGTTTTCAGGGCGAGGGTTCCGAGGAGGTGGCGGCGGCGGTGGGCGGTTCCATCGTGGACGCCGCGGCGGCGGCGGTGGCTACACGCGGTTCAACAACCGCTACTAACTTCTTCTTGTCTCTTCACCCAACCCCCATCATTTTTCTGCACGACGTGTTTTTTTTTTCTTTGCCTCTTTAGAATCTTTCTTCTAATTTTTTTCTTCTGCGTTTTACTTTTATTCTCTCATCTGACATAAACTAAGAAAAAGAGAAAAATAATTCTGTTATGCTTGTTTATATCCCTGCTTTTGAGCGCTGCAGTCACGAACCTGGTGACGAAAATTTGTTGTTAGTCCTTTGTGGCGTTGTTTTGTTCTTGCACTTGCTGTTGCCTTTATTATCATTATTATTTTATTGCCGTTGATGTAGATTTTTTTTCTCAGTTTTCTAAAGCATGGTTGAAGTCGAAAAAAAAAATTCCGGTTCGTTTTTTGTTGTTGAAACTAATCCACCCGAGTTTCACTGATGCAAGGCTTTTAATCCCTCTCCACTCTTGTCCTTCATAAGCTGTCATTCGTTTGTTTCAAAATCGTGTGAATTCCATGGCACTGATAACTGGAATCATGCGTGGTTTCATGGATCACGGGGATCTCTGCAGCTTTTCAACGATAACTTTTCTTTTGCCTTTCTTGTAGTTCTTGTTGTGCTCATGTTTTGCAAAGGGTTTCCGAATAGCTCATTTTCAGTGGGGAATTGCATCGTTTCGAACTCGGTTAAAATTCAAGACACTAAATTGTGGAGAATTGGAAACCCGCATGAACACGAGGCCTTCTGGGCATCTGTTTGCGGAGGAAACCTAACTTTACCCTTTTCCACTTCACGTGAACTTCGGAAACCCCCTTTAAATGTTACGCTGATTTGAGTGGTAATGTTCGATAATTTGATTATTCTTTGCACAACGTGAGCGTTTTGGTCAGATTCGTATTAGCGTAAAGTCTTTCAATTCTTGAGTGAAGTCGATTTTTTTTATTATTAAACATCAACGTTCTCGGGGATTCTTTAGATATGAGTTTGGGATTTGAACAAAAAGTGATTGGTTGTCGTGCTCGCTGTATACGTGGTGTGGGACTTGACTGGTTTGGTGAAAACAAAACAACAGCGAAAAACTGTAGAGGAATCGGTAAGTTGGTTCTTCTCCACAGGTGTGTCGGCCGGCAGAGGCCAGAAGACAACGCTGGAGACTTCAGTTGGCTTCTTCAGATTTGTGTTGCTGGGAGTGATGACTGGGGGGATTTTTTCCGTGAAGTTTTTTTCGATCATAAAGCAACAAGAAAAAATAAGAAACGTTTCATAATCTCGTTTCATTTCGTGTTTACTTCATGTGCTGATGAGAAGAGAGCGAGTCAAACGCGGTCGTGTCGAAAGTTGCGTTCGGAAAATTTATACCTACTCATGAGTGAACTCGCTTTCTTTTCCTTGACATTTTTTGGGACTTGTTTGTTATAGCTGCCCCCTCCCCCCTGCGTGTAACAATGTAAAATGACGCTTTAATGAAGTAAAAGGGTGTTTACTCAACTCCTGATTAATATCACCTAAACATTTTGCGTAATGCAGTTGAACCTCTGAGTCAAACTCTAAGGGACCTTTAAAAATTCGACTTGGGGAATTTTCGAGTTGAGGAAAGTAAAATTTGTTTGCTGGGGAAAAAATTAATAATTACATGAGGTAAAATTGGTGACTTTTTAGGCTTTAAACTACTTCGTGAATAATTTGAAAATGTGCTGAATTCGGAGCTAAGGGTTTGTTTGCCAATCTAGTCCCAAATTCCTTTTGGAAAGCATCAAGTTACGTTCTTATTTCTTTTCTCTTGCTTTGGTCCGAAGAACAAGAGCCCAAAACCCGAAAAAAATTTGAATTTTTAAGGTTTGAGCGGGAAAGTCTGAAAGAGGTCTAAAATACGTTGTTTTCAAAGGAACTTAGATGGAGTGACTGTTAACATAAATTTGGGATTAAAAATTTCATTTGAATTGAGAGGTTTGAGATATTGAGGTTCAAATGCACATACCACTTCAAATAAATGCCGAAAAATTTCTTTGTAAAGGGTTTTCACAACTGGGTTCAAAATGTTCTGAACGTAGTGGACTGTATAGCGTATTTTTCCAAAAATTTTCCAACTGAATTTTTAAGGCTACCTGTGCACAAATTTTTACTAAACTGGGCTCGTCGAGATCTATTTTTGTTGTTGCCTAAAATAATTAATCTTCATTGTCGAAATGACCCGTTAATTCTTTAGTTATTCCCGCAAATGGTGAATGGCAGCAATAACAAACATCGACCTTATTTCATTGAATCGCGTTTATTTTGTAGAAAAAAAACCTGAAATGTTTCTAAGCGTTCTTCGGTATTTTCTTCCGCAGCCAGAAACGTGGTGAAGAAAAATGACTTCGATTTCAGACGTCATCGGAAAGATTCATTTTCTGACTAGTGTCGCGTTGGAACAGGATCCGACGCGCAATTCCAACAGCAAGAGCAAATGCATTTGTTGCGCCGTCGACACGAAACCGTCGACGGTCAATTTTTTCGAGACCTACGGCCAAAGATTGAAGACGTTATTTGGCGTCAGTTTCAAGGAGCGTGACGACACTGCTCCGGTTGGACCGAATATTCAGTCGCTCGAGTCGCTTTGGTCTGTGTGCGATTTGTGCTTGAAGCAGTTGGAAGTGGCGGAATTGCTCTTTTGGAAAATATTCCGGACCCACGACATTGAAGTTTTGTGAGTTCAGAAACTTGAACCGTCTTGAATACAGTCACTTGAAGGCAATGAAAAATTACCTAATTTGTTGACGTAATTTTGTTGAGAACTGTGAAGTGCGCATTTTTTTTCAGGAATCGGGAAGCAAGGCATGGTCTAGTTTCATGGAACTTCTGCTGTAAATTTTGGCATGGAAAAATGGGAACGATACAAATACATTATTTAATCCCGCTTATGTACAGTATAAATTTTTTCCTTTTAATTTTGTTGTAGAGTAACTTCATATCAAATATAATAAAAATTCGTGTTAAAGAGAATTTCGTCGGGGATAACCCCTAGAACAGGGGAAGAGAACCGTATGGGACCAAAATCAAAATTTTTGTATAGAGAAAATCGTTGTTCATCCTGTGTCTTCACGAAACGGAGTTGATCAAATTTCAATACTGTATAGTGATCATAAACTAAAATAATCAAATCCGTCGAGTCACCTATCGTACCACTACATTATTTTTGTCGCATTCAAAAAAATAAAATATGCTCTCGTGTATGCTGACAATGTACTGTACTTCATTTACTAATGGTGCAAAATTATTTTCTTTTTTTAGAGTCTCGACTTTGGACGATGGTCGAGAGTTGTATCAGTTGAGACAAGATGGTGTGGCATTGGAAGGCCCGTGTGCTGCCAACAACTATTCGTCAGGACTCATCATGGATGCGTGAGTAAAAAAATAAAGATGTTCTGGATCTCTTCTCGTTTCTGTGTTGGTCTCCTATTTATTTATTTTTTTCTTAAACACGATAGAACTAGGCAGACGAGTTATTGTAATGTGATACCTCCTTCGTGAGAACGTCAACCATCTCTCTATACGCATTCCAATGCGCCAGCGTGTGATTCACGTTCTCATTTTTATTTTTTCTCAGACCCGGGGATAGTAGTGGCAGTCCTCCGGCGAAGAAGGCCCGACGCGCGGGCCAGCTCGGCGCCGACGACAACATGCTCGACGCTGGAGACGAGAACAACTTCACGTCGCTCGTCAACGCCAACGAACCCACCGACGGCGACGACATGGAATACGCGAGTCTCGTCCAATGCGACTTTTGCAGCAGTTTCGTTTTGGAGCTCGGCAAAGCTACGCTGCGGGATCATCGTCGTACATGCTCTAAAAATCCGAATAATCTGCGGCGCGACGGTGGTGGCGACAGTGGTGGTGGTGGAACGACGACTGTCGGCGGCGGCAGCGTTGGTGTCGTGGAAAGTATGCGAAGCTCTGTTGGAAGTATCGACGAGTCGTTCAACGAGGTGGAGTCGATGAGTTTCTGGGTGTGCCACACGTGCAGTGCTCCTGTGAAGACCGAGGAGCTTTTGAGGCAGCATTACGTGACGGTGCACAAGGAGTGTCCCGAGGATTTGTCCAAGAACAAAACGGTTTCTACGAACGTGTGTCCGTGGTGTACTGCCCCGTTCCAGACGGCCAAGGCGAAAAAGAGACACATGTCATCACGGCGAGTTTTTTCACCAACAATTTTAACATTTTTATTTGTGTAAGGTTTGAAAAAATGCAATTTCTGTACTTTATTTGAGCTGACATCTAGATAACTTGACGTGACCTGACGTAAAGAACTGCCCAACGTGGTCCATCTATTCATCTATTGAATGTAATCGAACATCTACTGAACGTGACCTAATTTCTACGGAACGTATCCCTGAAATTTTTTTTCAAGTATAACAACGTTGAGAAAAAATTTAATTTCACGTTTTTGAATCTGTGTAGAAAATAATTTGCAAACTTTTTATAAATGCAGATGTGTGAGGCGACCAGGATCAAAGGCGATGGAGACGAAAAATTCGTCGATGCCGGAAGCAGAGTCGCAGCAGTTCAAGTGCAAATACTGCTCCTTGTTGTTCCCGTCTGCACGATCTAGGTTCAACCACTTCTACCGGGCTCACAACCGCTACAAGTAGATTGATCCTGCGTTTGCCAAAAAAAGAAAGAAAGAAGGAAATTTTGTTTTTCTTTTCCCGAAACAAAGCATCAATCCACGACCCGCCTACTGCTGAACTTTTTAACTTCAAAATTTTAATGTTCCGCCGTAAGAACTTTCAAGCAAAATTTCATGACCTGTTTTGAAAGTTTTTTACGTGCACGCATTTTTCAATGAAGTACGAACATGTATCCTATAGGAGTATAGGGTATAGGCCTTTGCATGAAACATCCCTCGTTTTCCCCCCCACGATGAGAAAGGAAAAAAATGGTTACGCAGCAATAAATCCAATCATTTTTAATAACTAGAAAAAAATAAAAATACTGATGCAAAAAATTTTTTTATGAATTGCTTATGTTCTGCAGTGAGATAGGATTATTTTTATTTTCTGATCCACTTCCTTTCTATTTTGGATTTAGCTTCTTTTATTCTCACTGGTTGAAGGCACTTCATCTGCTTTTTTTTTCCTCGAATGTTTTGTTTTTGTGCATATGCGTCGGCGATTCCTTGTGCAAATGGCTAGGTGTTGTTTTGTATTTGATCCATGGATTGCCTCACTTTTTTTCTACGTACAATTGGTTGAAATTGGAAGAAGAGCCGACTGTTGTATGAGTTTTCAGGAGTGTATAACGTTTATTTACAACGCGAGTGCTAGGGGTTTAACAAAAGTTCGCGGGATACAATTTGAAACGGCGTACTGTAAAAGAGCTGAAAAACAATTATTGTCCAGAAAAAAAAAGATTTTTCGGGACGATAAAAAAATTTAGCCCTTTTTATGAAATATATTTTTATTAAAAGTCACCCTGACAGCTTTCTGTTCACTCAAAAGATGAGGCGTTTATTGGTGTACCTCAGCTTTGTGTCCAGAATTCTTGAAATTTACGTGACGTTAATTCCAAGGGTTGCCTCCAGGTCTTCCGAGGTAATTCCGCCATTTTCATTCACAGCCGCCACATTCTCATCCAAAGTGGCGGCTGTTGATGAAAATGGCCAAATTCATAATCAATTAATGGCGGCAACCCTCGGAATTAAAGCCATGTCAATTTCAAGAATTCTGAAGGGAAAGCAGGGATAGACCAAAAATTTTGCGAAATTGGCGCCTCATCTTTTGATTGATGAGCCGGAAGCTGTCGGGGTGATTTCTGCGAACATTTTATGATGAATATGTCGAAGGGGGCTTAATTGTATTTCTTGCGTCAAAGAATGTTTTTTTGAACAATAATTGATTTTCAGCTCATATACCGTTTTATTTCCATTCCGAGAAAATTTGGTAGACCCCTCGAATTTAAAAAATGTCGAAGGGGGCTTAATTGTATTTCTTGCGTCAAAGAATGTTTTTTTGAACAATAATTGATTTTCAGCTCATATACCGTTTTATTTCCATTCCGAGAAAATTTGGTAGACTCCTTGAATTTAAAAAAATTGTTTACGGGTTGATTCCATGAATTGCATGTTTTAAGAACGTCGGTTTTCCTTTCCTTCGTGGTAAAGGAAAATTTTTCTTTCGTCGTGAGAATGACGAGCACGGTGTCGCTGTTGGGCATTCCGTTGAAGAAGAGCGGGGAAGTGGACTTGGTGAAGCCTTTTCGACACGCGATCGCGTCGAGTTCTATCGGATTAGGTGCTGGTGAGATTGACAAGCACAGGGAATCCGTTTCTGATTTCAACAAACTGCGGAACAACGCGTGTTCCAGACCCTTGGACAAACACGAAGCTGCTTTGGATACTCTCTACCGGTAAGCTTTAAAAAAAAATTATTTCAAACATCAGTTTACAGAGATCCTCAACTAGTGCTCCGCGGAATTCTCAGGGATCCCATCTGGAGTTTCTGGGGGCTCCGCGGCGATTCCTCAGAAAATAACGAAGGAAAATTCATGAATACAATTTCTAATAAATTATACACCACTTGGACATATTTCATGCCTAAGTATGTCTAAGTGCTTTAAATTAATTTTTACTGATATTTTGTTTTCCATATCAGGGAATGAATGGGTGTATGCATACATGTCAGATGTCCAGTTGTATTTTGTGGATTATATTTTAAATTCGAGGGGTCTACCAAATTTTCTCGGAATGGAAATAAAACGGTATATGAGCTGAAAATCAATTATTGTTTTAAAAAACATTCTTTGACGCAAGAAATACAATTAAGCCCCCTTCGACATGTCAGATGTCCAGTTGTATTTTGTGGATTATATTTTCTTTCATTTTTGCTATCCATTTGTGCTCTGTTTCCTGCTGTGAAGTGATTAAATGTCATTGAGTGGATTTGGGTTGTGTTGGGTGGGGTGGGGGGTTTGGATGTTGAAAACTTGATTGAACCTTGTGAACACTGAAAAGTGGCAAACGAAGTGTTCTGTTCATTCATTCATTCATTCAATAAATTATAATCAATGAATTAAAAACATGGATATAGAAAATGCAATAAGAATAAGGGTCCTCCAAAAGCAGTTGGGACAATAATGTCTTGAATTTGAAGGGAAGGCCCCGAGCGTTTCTGCCTAAAGAAATCCGCTATGCAAGTTAATTGAAGGAAATACTTTCCTCTTGAGAAAAATGCGACTTCGGGCATTAAATTTGCGCAGATCATTTGCATCATTCAGCAACTCTTCCGAAAGTTTTGAAAAATGTCGGGGATTTAAAACTTCGAATACGAGAGTTGAAGTACATTATGTCTTGAGATCTCTGAAGCCAGTACAGTAGACTTTTTTTCGAACAACGTGCTGGTCGTTATTACGAAAAAGTCTTCCGAAAACGAGTAACATTGACGACATTTTTTTTTCTTTTTTGAAGATATCATGACCAGTTGAGCAGTTTGGAGAAAAAAGTTCCCCCGGGAGAAATCCAGGTTCCGTTCAAATGGAAGGACGCATTCGACAAGGGATCCCTTTTCGGTGGTTCCAAAAGCCTCAGTAAGCATCTCGTCTATTTTTTTTTCTTATGCATCAAGCTATAACCTAGGTTTATTTTTCCCCAGCCATTTCTTCACTGACTTTTGAGAAGGCCTGTGTTTTATTCAACATGGCTGCGTTGCAGTCTCAAATAGCCTCGGTGCAAAACTTCGATCACGACGAAAGCTTGAAGCTGGCCGCCAAACTCTTCCAGGTACTGGATGCACTCATTTTTATTTATTTTTTTTTTTGCGTAGCAAAACCGTGTGAAATCATTCGGGGTTTTTATGTAATTTTTGTATTTCTAGTTTTCCAGTGGGGTTCTAGGACACCTGAAGGGCATCGTGTTGTCGTGCGTGAATCAAGAGCCAACTCCGGACCTGAACCCTGAAACGTTGCACGCACTCTCTGCTCTCATGTTGGCCCAGGCCCAGGAGGTTTTTGTTGTGAAAGCCATCCGAGGTTTGTTCTTTGATGTCCCGACTTCGCAGTTACGTAAAACTGTGTGTGCAGAATGCCAGGCGTAATGTAGACCGGTCTTCAAGCTTACTGTGCTCTGGAAAGTAAGAATTGAAGATTTTAATTTTGGCTAAAACGGAACTTGAATTTAGTTGATTATAAATCGGAGGAAATTAAATTTACTCTAAACTTTAACTTGATTTAGATTGAATTTAAATCGTTTGAAGATGTGATTTAAGCTGAAATGTCTTTAGTAGAATTTAGTAAATTTTTGATCGTTTGGAAATTCAAATTATGCTAATGAAACTTGAAATTCGCCGATTCTAAATCATTTTAAAGATTCAATTTTGGCTGAAATGAAACTTGAGTTCAGTTAATTTTAAATCGTTTTTTAAATTTTAATTCAGGGTAAGTGGAACTTCGTCAGTTAATTTGTATCGTTTAAATTCTTTAAAAAAATGTAATTTAGACTAAAATTAAACTAGAATTGAGTTGATTTTAAATCAATGAAACTTTTATTTAGGCTAGAATTTAACTTGAATTTCTTTGATTTTAAATAGTTTTGAAAATTCAAGTGAGACTAGACGGAACTTTAAGCCAGTTATTTTCGATCGTTTTTTTTTTTTGAATTTTTTTTCTTTCGTTCAATGTTTCAATAGGATATCTGGATTTTAAAACATAAAGCATACCTTCGGAATAATTCGCCGGAGAAAAATGTGACGTACCCATTTCAGCACGATGTCGACAAATTTATATTTTGTATGCGATTATCCGTTTGTGCCATTCGATGTATGAGCATCATATCATTTTTTAAACTTCTTTTTTGTTTTTAGATAAGATGAAGGACGCCACGGTGGCTAAACTCAGTGCCCAGTGCAGTGAGCTGTACACGGAAGCTTCGCGTTTGATGAGTGCAGAGCGGTTGAAGCAGTTGTGGGACAGGGAATGGCTGCCGATTGTGAATGGCAAGCAAGAAGCGTATAAAGCCATTGCGGAATTTTTCCAGGCTTCGGTTTGTGAGGCGAACAAACGCGTCGGGGAAAGAATCAGCAGACTTCAGGTAATTTCTAATAATTTAAAATGCACGAGAAGTTGTTTTTATCTTGTTCTCAAGTTTGAAAGTAACTAGACGAGATTATCTATAAAATTTGGAAAAGGATTTGTGTTGTCTTGAAGTTTGATTTTTTTTGAATGCTTGAATGAGAGTTCCTCGAGGTTTCTTCGAAATGGTTGTAATTACATCGAGGATTTTTTGAATGGCTTTTTTTTCTGAGTTTCTCATGATTTTGCAAAGGAAAACGTTCCACAAGACGAAGAAGATCTCATTCAGGTTGAAATTTCAATATTGTGAGAATCATTCAGACAGCCAAAATGTGTTCTGCGTCTCATTCGAATTTTTTTTAGCATAAATGATTTTCGGACTCTAAATGCAATATTTCAAGCTGGAACGTTTTTACTTGTTCGCAATGCACTGAATAACATCCCTCAAGATACAGAATATTTGAGATCAGGTTTGAGCGTCGTATGAATTATTATTTTCCGTTCTATCTCAATTTTTTTTAAATACCGAAGTATAATGCTGTAAAATGTATCTTCAGATATTTCAAGTGTGTTAAATATTCATTGCGATTATTTTTTATTTCATTTCCAGCATGCGGCTGATGTTATGAAGACCGCAGCATCGAAGAGTGGAACTTTTTTCCCGGCTTTTCTGAGTGAATACACTGGCAGGATTCAGCACGCTTTAGAGGCGACGAAGAAGGAGAACGACTTCATTTTCCACGACCGTGTGCCGGATATTAGGAATTGCGAGCCAATTGCCAAGGTGGCTCTTGCCAAATCGCTTCCATACCAGGATCGCTATGGACAGAGTCGAGGTGGGATTGTTATTTCATTTTTTTTTTTTTTTTCCTCGCCCGAATGGAAATTCTTTGCGACGAATTCCGCGGTAATGTGGATTGCACTAGTTCTCCTTCTGAACTGTCTCGTTGAATGATCATCAATGTGAATTTTTCTATTAGTCTTAATTTTCAAGAATATTTTTTCTTATGTATATTTGAAAAATGAAATTGGGATAGACTTGTTCGAGGACCTCGTACCATTGGAAGTAAGCCAAGCGTTGGCGGTGGCGGATTCGCGTCGCATGGAGCTCGTCAACTCGGAAGTGGCGCGACTTCGGGACGCCTCGCAGCTGCTGAATGGACTTCTGGCGTCCATGAACTTACCGGCGGCGTTGGAGGATCCCGGGAAAGCCGGCGGCTTGCCGCCGTCTCTGCGCGATAAGGCGGAGAAAGTCAAGGCTGAGGGAGGCATCGAATCACTCCTGGCCATGCTCCAGAACCTTCCTGAATTATTGCAGAGGAATCGAGAAGTTCTAGATGTGGTGTGTGCTTTTTTCTCCGTAAAATTATTCATTGAAATGATCTCGCTTTTTAAGGAAGCTCCGAATTAGTCTTTGAGCATCAATGTGGGAATTTTGAGTTTGGTTTTCGCTCGCAGTGTCTACAGGAATATTTTTTTCGGATTTTGCCGACTTGACTTTTGAATAATTTCTGTTGATGGATTTAGGTACTGTAATTCAAGCTTCGGGTGATTTTCTTGAAGAAGTTTCCGCATTTACTCGGCTGTTAACTTTGGAAGAGATCAAATCGGCAACTGAAGCATGAGTAAAATCAGAAAATGCCGGATATCTCCGATTCTGACGAAAATTAGATATTACCGAAGTCAGTTTTAAAATTTGAAAGCAAAATTTTGAAGCGCTGAGATTTGAGTACAGTGCAGTCCAACTTCAATAAGCCGCCACCATTTGTTCGTGAAGTTTTTGTCGCTTTAAAGAGTGTTGTTGGTCTATCAGAAAAGCTCAAATAATCTGAAAATTAGGTATAAAAGAAAACGAAATTCTTATTTTTCAGAAAACCCTCAAAATAACCCTGGGATGCGTTGATTAGATCTAGCTAATGTTCCCAATAAGTAAATTATTATTTCTTTTTTATTTTTTAATTGGAGACCTGCTCTGAAAGTTTAATTTTTTTGGCAGGTTATTGAGGACGAAAATAATGGGCAGGAGCATATTTGAGTTGTCAGTACAGTAATTTTCTCGAATGGCGTTTTAACGGGTTTTCCAATACTATTACCATCTGGTAGGATTTGTTTTTCAAAGTAAATTGGCGGTTCCGCTGGTGGCGGCTTATTGGGGAACGTCTTGACGGGTTTTTGACTGCATATTTTAAATGCATTGTTCAACTGACTTTTTGGCTAGTTTCTAGGGAAATTCGGGTTTTTCTTGAAATGATGTAATTATTATAATTTTTTTTTTTCAAAACGGACTCCAGACCGAGAGGGACTTGAACGAGGAACGAGACAGTGATACCCAGCTCCGGAGTCAGTTCAAGGACAAGTGGCGTCGGACTGAGTCGGAAAAGTTGACTGCGAGCTTTCGACAGAACGCCAAACGCTATAAGACCATTATTGAGAATGCCATGCTGGCTGACAGCACTGTGCGCGAACGTTTCAACACGCACGAGCGCGTCATCCGCATGCTGAGTGAGAAGTCGGAGGAGGAGTTGTTGGCGGCGCTGCCGAGCGGAAAGGGCGGCAATCGGGACTCGCCTGCCGCCAACCGACTCAAGACGCTGATGCGAAAGGTTCCCGTCTATTATCAAATTTACGTTCTCACGCGTTGTTTCTCGCATTGACGAGTGTACGAGGGTTGTCCCAGTTGGACGCAACCTCTGATATTTTTAGAGTACCGGTAGGTAGGTGTGACGGTTACAAAAATCATGACATAGCCCAAAATGTTTTAAGGGTTTGGGATTTTTAATGAAGTTTATCAATTCACTGCATGATAAGTGAAAACTTTTTTGATATAGCCAGAGTTCTTCATCCATGTCACAGGGTGCTAGAAATTCATCAGAATAGTTGAGAAAATGATTTTTTTTCATTATCTACGAAGTAGGAAAGATAATCGGTAAAACAACAGCAAAATCAATTTTTTAGCTGGTCCGACAAATTTTCAACATCCTGTGACATGGGTGAAGAATTCTGGCTATAACTGATAAGTTTTCACTCATCATCATGCAGTGAATTGAAAAACTTCTTTGAAAATCTAGAAAAAAGATCCCAGAACCTTAAATATTAGAACCTAATGGGCTATGTTATGACTTATTCATTTATTTCATTTCTACAATCATACCTAATCTTAAAATATCAGAGGTCGTTTAGGGTTCCTTTCTTGTTGAGTGTCTAGAACTTCCTTGAATCCGCTCTGAAGATGCAGTTGATGGTTTGAAGGGGTTTGCGGTTTATCAAAAAATCTAAAATAATTTGTTAATCAAGTACAGTACTGTACTGCATGGTATGAAGTGCGATTCTTATTTTTCTCGAAAACAATAAATTAACCCAGCGATACGTGAATTATATCTAGCTATTTTCCTCTAGAAGTAAGTTATAACATCTTTGAGTGCGTTGTTTTTTTTTTTATTTGAAATCCCTCACAGAAACTTTGTGTTGCTGGATGTTGAAGACAAAATTAGTATGCATTTTTCTATTTGCTCGTGAATCCGTAGAACTCTCGTTGTTTTGTCTTGAATATAAAGTGGGTAGGACAGCAGCAAGAAGAAATTATTGGAACTGGAATATTTTTTGGAAAAAAAAACCGAAAATTGTCTTGAGACAAAATTAGTCTATTTTTGTATTACAGTAGTTAGATGGACCATTCAAAGTGAAGCTCCTTTTTTTATTGAAAAGTGGGTGGAACCGCTGCAAGAGGGAATTATAACGTTTTGAAGCTCTTAGAATTATTGTAAAAACCGCACATCGTTCTAAGACAGAATCAGTCTGTTTTTGTGATGATCAGGTGGACGATTTGAAGTGAAACTCCCGTCGTTCTGTCTCAAAAAGTGGGTGGAACATCTGCAAGAGGGAATCATTGCACTGTATCACGCATTGAAGCTCTAGAACATTTTTTTTTTTCTAAAACTCGAACATTTTTCCAAAAAATATTCAATCTATTTTGGCGTTGATTAGGTGGACGATTTGAAGCGGGAGCGAGAAGAACTGGAAGGCCTTTTCAAGTCGACGGATGCGGACCTCAAGTCTGCGCTGTGTGCGATGCTGGCCCGCGACGGACGCGTGGACGAGCCAGCAGTGTCCAAACAGGTGTTGGATGCAGCTTACGGGGACGCCGTCGCCCGAGTGGCGACCAATTTGGAGCAGCAGGAGAAGCTCGTGGCGGAGGTGCAGGAAGCGAACGGGGATTTCACGAGGGATCAGTCGGGCGACGGAGACGCCCGCGAGCAGATGATGAAGGACTTGGCGGCCGCCTATGACGCCTTCACCGTGCTCAAGAATGACCTGAAGGAAGGCACGAACTTCTACAACGATTTGACTCAGGTATTCTTCGAAAGGATTTTGTCTGTCGTGGTTGGGAAAAAAAAAAGAAACGACGGGTTCTATGACTTAAGTTTTGGAGAGAATAAGAGGTTTTATAAGCTCAATTTTCTGGGTAACAATGGGTTCTGAATAAAATCTCGTTACGATAAATTTTTCTGAATCAACGCGAAGTTTCGGACAACATGAGAGGTTGAAGACTCAAGTTTCTAAATAGCAATGGGTTTTGAGTTCTAAGTAAAATCGTGTTACGATAAATTTTTCAATTTAACGAACTTGCTTTCAAGTCCAGGCAGAAAGCCCATAGACTACATTTTAAAAATCTCATCATAATAAACTTTCCAATTCCAGTGTAACGAACTTTTTTGAGAAATTTTTAATAGATTCTTAGTAACTTACTAAATCAATGCGAAGTTCTGGAGAAGAAAACGTTGTTCAAGTTCGAGTTTCAGGTCAGCAATGGGTTATATTTGTTGTGATGCAAAAACTTCTGTAAGATGGAAGGCTGTGTCAATTTTTTGATGGGATTTTGAAATGTAAGTTCTTTTTGTACAGATTTTTTTGTTTCTACGGAAAAGAGTCTAAACTAGAGTGATGACCTTCAGTGAGGACTACTTCATGATTTTACATAATATTCATTGTTGAGCCTATAATTACTTGAACCTCCGCAAGTCGAATACCTCCCTATGTAGAATTTTTTTTCAAGACCTTGTCTGAATTTCCTTAGAATAAAAGCATTGAAAACCTCCTCAACTTAAAGGCTTTCCTTCTCAAACCTGGTGAGTGGAATTTTCTGGAGGCGTTTAGGCTTTTATTTTATTGGCAGGGGAAAGAGAAAGCAATAAAAATGTAACTTAATGCGTCTTGAAAGTAAGTGAAAGATTAATTGAGCAAATGAACCCTTGCCTCCAACTTCAGCATCCCGTCAAATCATTCAAGAAGCAATTTACGGTGCAGAATGTAAAAAAAGTATTCCCAACAAAAATACTGTACATGTTTCCCTGAGTCGACTTATTTTGCTGGTCCTTTGTAGCTTGACTTGAAGAGGTTCTGTATTTTCGCTAAACTGGAAGTGTTCTGACTGGTTCCTCGTGTCCTTTTTTTTCTTGTTTTGAACCAGATTCTAGTGAACTTCCAAAACAAGGTGACTGATTACTGTTTCGCGCGGAAGACGGAAAAGGACGAGCTTATGAAGGACTTGACGTCAGCTCTGGCTTCTGCCAAATTGGATTCTGCTCCGAATCAACCCAGGCATTTCGGCGCTGCTGGTGTGTGCGAAATTTCCTTCCACTCCGTATCAGCTCTGCTATAGTAGGGAATTTTGCAGTTGAACATTGTTGCTTCGTAATTGCGCTGTTGACGTCTCGTTACGATCGAATCGATCTCTGGTGAATTTTGGATGATGCTCACTCTTTATATCGCTGTAAATTTATTTTTTGGCGCATTTTGTCTCATGTTTGGGGGGTGCTGGACAGGTGTCGCCCGAATCGCTAGCCTAACCATATCCAGAAACTTTCTCGTGGCCTGTTCTAATTTCATTTGGAACAGGAATTTAATCAAGTTCAAGAGACGTTACGCATTATTATGGGAGATCGCTCCTGAAAAATTGAGCTTTCAATGGAAAATGTATCCCTTCTAATGTCTACAGTTTGACTCCTTGATAAAGTAAGTTCACTTTAGCGTCGTTCAGCAGGAAAAATAAATGAATTCGGGTATATGCAAAATTTTTGCGTAAATCTCTAGAATTGGGTAATTCGATGGAAGAGCGAGGCGGAAGCAATCTGTAATGGAAGTAATGCTGCTGGGGTTTTTCAAGTTCCTTCTTTCAAAATATGTATTTGTTCATTTTTTATCGTAGGTAGGATTGAAAACAAAAAATGTTTATATTGGCTGAGCTGATGATGAAAATCGAGTGTTCGCTGACTTTTGCAGAATCCGCTGTAAATGTTTGCAATTCAGGAGTCATGATTATTGATGCGTGTAGAAAAAGGGTTTTATGTGGTTAGATTTCAGTGATAGTTGCTGCAGTATTTTATCTTGGTTTTTTTGTTTAGTTCTCTCGAATTTTTTTTTATTTATGAAATAGCTGCATCTGAAATTATCGAAGTTGAAAGACCACTACTACTCAGTTTATTCCGTCTTCGGTATTTGAAGTTTTCTAAAGTTTGATTATCTCTGACGTCAGCATTTTTATACGCGAAAGAGTGAGTACAGTACATGTACGGTATTCGAAGTTTACCAAATATTTTAACATTAAGTATGGTATAAAAATAACTCGTAATTCGGAAGTGGGTGAAGTTCGCAAATCTTTGTGCCCGAATGTAAGTTTCAAGCACTCAGTCTTGGAAGCCTTTCATTTTGCAAAATTTTTTCTCACCAATTCTGTAATATGTTTGTTGATGTTGAATTACACGAATAAAATACTGTATTATACAATTTTGAGCTTTCCACTTACCTGAAATAAACAATTTGGGCGTAGAAAAAAAAACTTCGGGAGTGAAAAAACAATTGCTTTCTTTTCTTTTCTGTTTTGAAATGATTTCCTCGATTTGAAGAAAAATTCGAAAAATTTAAAGAAGCATTTTCTGAAATTGACTAATTTTTTCTGTGAAATTTTGTTATGCAATTCATTTTTCCTCGCCCGGGAAATTTTGTCTCGTGATTTTCTGTTGTGCGGGTCTTTCATCAAGTAGAAACCCATTAGTTTATTTTTGCCCCTACATTTTTGGTTGCCAATATTTTCCTGGGTTTATTTTATTTTGCTATTGCTTGATATTGGGCGTAGAAGGGAAGAAAGAGCCGCCACCAAGACCACCTCCTCCTGCCGCAGGTGCCCCTCCGGCGGCTGTCCCTCAATCGACGGCCAACGCGCCGCCATATTCTGCCGTACCGTACAACCCGCAGATGATGCAGCCGCATGCTGCCATGCCGTACCCTGTGCAGCCGCAGGGAATGCCGTTGCCGTACTCATATCCTCAACAACCGTACCCTACGTACATGCCGCAAATGCCGTCTGGGTACAATCCTTACGGTGAGCATTTTTTTTCACTACCTTTTTTACTGGAGTGAGACAAACACCAGTGTTTTTCAGACTAAAATGTTGATGAAGTTAGAGTGAAACTCTCTCTACATTACAAAACTCTGGTATGCAAGGTCTTCCACTGAACTGTATAACGATAATTTTTTTTATCTAATAGGATTTTCTTCCTGTCTGGTGGGAATTCTCTAAAACAAAGTTTTTTTTCTGGTCCCTTGACATTTGTTTTGGAGAGAGTCCACCTACAAGTATATCCTGAAGTAAGATGCGCACCCCGTTTTCAATAACTCTAAAACTGCAATATTTTAAAAAGAAGAATACTTACTTTTGAGTTTGGACATGAATTGAACCAAAGCTCGACTAACTTCCCATGTTTCCATTGTAACAAGTCATTTTTGTTAAATTGGTCCATTTCACTTTGGACGTGAATTGAACCTAAATTCAATTAATTGTCAATTGTTTCCACTGAAATAAGTCTTTCTGGTGAAATTGGCCCAACATTTCGCATGCGAATCAAATGTAATGTGCGCCGTAATTTTGAAAACTTTTTCAGAAAATGTGCCCCCTTTCTTCCCTCTCATTTTTGAGAAAGAAGTGCATATTGTAGCCAAATACTGTGAATAAGTATTTTTATTTTCCTCCGTTTTCTTGATGCATGTATGTTCAATTTGGGAGTGCACTAGTAAATTTTTGATTCGTAATTGGTGGTTCATGGCGAGGCTTATCCTTTCTGAAGTGATTTTTCTTTTGCGAGAATGTTTAAGGGCAGAGCTTTTTTTAGCCCATAGTATGCACTTCTCTGGTGTTTGGTTGGTACCTGGAAGGTAGTAAGCAGAAAGCTTTTTCCATGACTGTAAGAAAATTTATGTAATGAATGAAACTGGTGACATAACTTTTTGGTTTTTGTTTGTAGAAGATGGTCTTTTTTCAAGGATAATCGGTGAACTAAAAGTTATTTTGCCCACAAGTATGTTGTACAATTTTCTGGAGTGTCCTTTAGAAAGAGTCCATCTGTGATCTTGAATAAACTGTTTATTGTAGCGTCGTGGAAAATTAAAAGAAAATTGAGTTCCTTGGTGGATAGCGAACCAAAGTTGAAGCCTACAAATGTTGGGTTCAATTTGCACAATTCTTCCCAATTTTTTGATTGCTTCATGCTAATTACAAATTTCGATTTTTGCAGGATACATGCAACAGCCTCCTCCCCCTCAAGGTGCTCAGCCGCAACAGAACTATGCTTACCCGAGCTATCCGCCTCAACAGGCCCCGTATCATCCGAACCCACACTATCCCCAGCAGTAGAGTTGCATTCAACATGTTGGAAAGTTTGAGAGGAAACTTACGTCACAAACGAACGAACGAACGAAAAAAAAAAGAAGAGAAAAGAATATGATCCTTTTTGTCGAGATGAACGAGAATTTCCCCTGCTTTGATGGTTTCTTGCTGCTGCTTTCCAAACCCCGTTCTAAAATCGTCAGTCGTTTTTATTCTTCTTCTTCTTTTATTGCTCTGTGACATTGTTCAAGATAGTTGAAGTCGAATTCCGTCAAGGGGGGGGGGGATTATTATGCGGAAAGCGATTGATTTTTGTGTTTTTCTCGAAGGAAGAGTGATTCATGTGTTAAATGAGAATTGTGGTGTTTTGGAAGCGATTGTTTTCTTGTGATGAGGATCGGACTGACGCAGAAGCAGAGGCAATTCGAAAGGTTCTATATATTTCATTTTTTAAGAAAATTCCTCAACACCCAATAATACGAACATTTTAGCGTCCAGTTATTTGTACGTTTGAACAAAGTTTTCAGTAAGGTTTTAGTCGCTAAATAAATTTCGCACACTTCGTTTCAAAGAAGACGCATTTGCCATGTGGACCAATCTTAGCCTTGAGGCTTGTCACAGGCCGTCAACTGAATTTTTTTTGCTCAATTGTAAACAAATTTGTGTGATTGAAGTTGGTGGAATCATTTAATTCTTGTACAGTAAGGAAACATCACCAAGTCTCTGAAATGAAACAATTTACAAAATCTGATGAAAATTAGTGTTGGTCTGGAAATTGTTTGCCTGAGTACAGTACACAACATCCGAAGTCATGGACACTCCAAGCTGACAAGTGAAAGAAAGACTTGAACAATAATGGTAAGAAACTTGTGTTTTTTTTTCAATATCCATCCAGCATGAATTCAAACTCTTTTTTTGAAATCACAGCAATAAAATTCGCGGCGGGTGTTGATCCAAAAAAAGCTCTCGAGCCGTGAATAAATCCCGCCATAAAGGAAACATTTCAAATGGCAATAATCAAGATCAAACAATAATTGAACTTGAAAAATCCCAAATGCGAAAAGCTTACGTCAAAGTGATTTTTGCACTCATTGACAAACTATGTTTTACTTGACGTGCTCCTCAGTAGAAAAAAATGTTTTGCATCAACAAGACAGGGAGAAAGATAATGGCAATAAAAGCTTTCCATCTGAAATCAAATCTTGAACAAACATGTCACCTGTTCAAAAATAACGCAAGAGAAAATAAAACTCAACTCATGTTCATTGTTGATCTAATCTGCAGTTGACAGAATTTTCTGCTGAAAAACCAATATCACTTTTACCCCACCCATCAGTTTATTGCTTTCCCTACACTTCCCCGATATATCTCACTTTTTCCCAACCACTCACAAGAAAAGTTGCAAAATATGATTTCAATGTTCAAAATACTCATACATTACTGGACATGTGTATGTTGGAATTAGCAAACTAAGGGTTTTTAGGGGAGATTACCCCATCAAGTTGACTTGAAAGACAAATTAAGTGCTTCTCAATTTGTCTACACAATTTCTTCTTTGGTCCCCCTCAAAACTTTAAAGGGATCAGCCAAAAGTAGCAATGAAAGAATGATTTTGAAAAACCCACAGAAATCCTCAAAAGTGGACTATAGCAAGGAAAATGTCCTTCCTCAACAAGACTAGCTTTGCCATTATTCCCTGTGGAATCCCAGCTGAATACAATAATAAGCTGCAAAAACATGAAGTAGTCTTGCAAGAATGAGATGTGAGTCATAGATGAAATTTGCTTCGAAGTTATCAAGCATTTAATTTTCCAAATTTGTGTTTCAAGAAAATAAGTGCTGTGGCATTGTGTAATGCAAGGTAAAGTACTGTATAGCAGCAGGACTTGACATACACTACATATAGTCATACTTTTCAGAGATTAAATTGATTATATGTAGTGGCATATTCTGAGACTGTTGTGCAAACCATTTTGAATGAGCACCAAATATAGACATGTCCTACATAATACAGTATGCAACAACACATCATCATGCATCAGTGGAATATGATCACAGGGCAATGCGGGCATTGAGATGAATGTTGTTGATCACAAATGATTCCACCCTTACACCAACATACTGTACGCTCCCAAAATTTGACAG